CCCTATTACTCTTATCACCTCTTCCTTCCCTATTTCTTCCCTTTCTTCTATTGTGCCTGTTTCCTGTCTATTTACTTCTGTCTTCTGTTCTTCGTTAGTTTCTGCGCCTTCTAAAATTCTTATAAAATATTCCCGCCATTCTTCTATCTTGATGTTCTTACTTGGTCCCGTTTTTATCTTCCTTTCTTGGTTTATATATTTCCATGCTTCCGCTTCCGTTCTTATATCCTTTAATTTCTGGTCTTCTTCATCCTGTTTCTTTGCTTTCTTCTCTTTTATTAATTTCTTATAGTCCTTAATTTCTTTTCTATATTCCTTTTCATTACCTCTGTTCTTTAGCCATCGTCTCAATTTCCTTCTTACTTCTATTTTCTTCTGCCAGCATTCTTCGTCCCACCATGAAATTCCCCTCTTTTCTATTCCTCCCATTTTGATAACCTTCTTACGAGATGCCTTCCCCATCTCTACTTTTAGTTTTCTGGCCATCTCTTCCACTGTTCCTCCTCCTGTATTGTACTCTCTCAGTTTTCTTCTATATTCTTCAATCGACTTCTCATTCCATTCGTATATCTCTTTTTCTCTTCTGTTCTCTAACTCTTCCTTCTTAGTCTTTTCCACCTGTGTAATTGTTGGTAGGTGATCTGAGTCGCTCCTTATTCCAACCTCCATATCTCTGATGCCATGGTCCGCTATTTCATTACAGATAACATAATCTATAACTGATCTCCCTTGCCCCCCTATATATGTGTATTCACCCTCTTTGTCACCTTCTGTATTCCCATTCAGTATTTTCCATCCCTTTTCCTCTACCAACTCCAACAGTTTCTTTCCTTCTTTGTTCTCTGTTCGGTCTTTTGATTTCCTTTTTCCCTCATCCTTTTCCTTGTCCCACTTCCATTCAGCTCCCTTGTTTCCAATTCTAGCATTGAAATCCCCGCCTACCACCAAGCAATATTTTTCATCTATTTCATAATTTATTTCATCTAAATCTCTACTGGTCTTTTTTACGTTCTGACTGTATACTGTCATTATCCTCCAACTATTGTCCCCTATTTTAATTCTTCTCTCTTGTATTCCTTCAACTGATTTAATTCTCTCTTCCTCTATTTCTTCTACATCTTCCTTAATGCCTGTTATTATTCCACCCTTTGCTCTTCCCCTCTTCTTGCTTCTTTTCGCATGTTCGGATTTCCATCTATATTCTTTTGGCAATTTATTTCTAGTATTTTCCCAGTTTTTTTCTTCTACCCAAGTCTCAACCAAGCCCACCACCTCGAATTTCCTTATATAATCCCAAAAGTCTTTATCTTTATTCTTCAACCCACATATGTTCCAAAAAATAATACTTATTCTATCCTTTTCTTCGTCCAAGATTTCTTTTGTATTTTCAGTTTCTCCTGATTTCTTTCTTTGTTCGATTTTCTTTTTTCTTCCCTTTTCTTTTTCTTGTTCATATTCCTTTTCCGTAGCAAATGTCATCATCGTTCCTTCCTTTTCAATTTCTGCTAGTTTTTTGAGTCTTCTCTTATCTTATCTTCTATAAGTTTATCGTCTTTTTTGCTCCACTTCCATAATTTCCCTTCTACTTCAACTTTTTGAAATTTAACTTTCACAGAGATTCCGTGTTCTCTCTCCTTCTTTGCAAACTCTCGTATTTTCTTTTGAATTATCCTTTCTTTCACAGTGTAATCTGGGTTAATATATATTTCCTGTCCTTTGGGTCTATTCTTTAACACACTTTTCTTTTTTAGAATTTCCATTTTGTCATTCCAGTTTTTTGTTTCAATAATGCATATCTTTTCGCCTACTTTATATGCCTTTGTCACCTCTATTTGTAGTCCGATTTCCTTTTCAATCATATTTTGTATTGCTTCTTTTAATATTTCTTCATTATCTGTATTTATTTTTATTCCAGTTATTACTAGATTATTCCTTCTTTTGTCTCTTTCTAAGGTTTCCAGTCTTTCTTCCATTTCAGCTAGTTTGTCCCTTAATTCGTTTTTCTCCTTTATCCAACTTTCTTCCTTCTTCTCTATTTCTTGTCTCAGGTTTTGTATTTCTTCCTTGTTTTCTCGGGTTTCTGTTCTTAGATCTGTTAAGTCTTTCTTTAAATCATAAATACCATCCCTTATTTCTTTCTTATTTTCTTCCATCTCCTTTTTTAGGTCTCTCTTCATTTCCGCTAACAACTTTTTTATGTCTTCCATTTCTTGCTTTTTGAGTGGGGTGATTTTTGTTGGTGACCTGCTTGTTACCTTACTTTTTTGGAAAGCTTTATCTTCCAGTGACGTATCGTGGTCTGGTTGGCTCCTTTTACGGCTTCTACTTTCTTTCCTATACTTTCCTTCCTCTGTCATTTGATAATAATTTACTGTATATGGACATTTACTTGTGCCTATCTGAATTTCCTTAAGCCGTCCCTGTCGTAACAGTGTATCTTATCTTCAGTGCCGGCGATAAGGTCGTCCTCCCAATCGACTTGTCGGAGAGGATGACCTTCTCCGGCGACAACACAACGTCTCTTGTTTCTTTTCGTGCACTTCTTACCTCGTTTTTGCTTCAAACTCTGCAACTGCCCGGGTGTGCCACACTATTATCACACCTCGGCTCAACTATTGTTCATACACCAAACCGACAATATTCTTGTTGTCAACAAACGTGCAATTCTGCTTTTCCAAGCGGAGCGCCTCTCACACGCACGTTTCTGTTGCTATGCCAGGACCGGACTCCTTTGTGGTGACGTCATAAATTTTTAAGGGGTTATGAGCAAATACATTTTGATCAAAAACTTACCATGCTTATGATAACTTTAAAACACCTTCAAGATTTCAAAGCATTCGGTTTTGTAGTTCCTGAGTAAATCAGTAAAATAAATTTACGCATTCATTAATTTTTTTGAGTCACCCTGTATATGCAAATCCAAAAAATATGAATGGAGTGATATAGCACAAGCACAGACTCATCATATTTTGTACATTTTACATAGGATTTATTTGGCAAACTTTTGAGCTGACGTCATCAAGTTTTTGGAGGGGATAACCAAATATATTTTGAGTAAAGATTTATGATGCTCTTTATAGCCTTAAAACATCTGCAACATTTCAAAACATTCGGATTAGCAGATTCAATTAAATTGCAAAAATGTTGTTTTATAATTTTGATTTTTTTTCCAAAAATCTGGACGTTTCGGGTAAAAACTCAATTCGGAGTCGTAAACTACATGTTTAGGACTATATTATTTTATACAATTTAAAACCCATTTACTATGTACAATTTTGAAGTGACGTCATCACATTAGTGGTGGTGATGATTAGACAAATTTTGGTTAGCGTTTTACTACCATCTACATGATATTCCTAATATAACTACAAAATTTCACAACAATCGGTCCAGTACTTTCAGAGATTATCTGTCTAATAAAAATCCGGGACGGCAGACAGACGGACAGACGGACGGACAGACGGACAGACAGACGGAAATGGGAGACCTATTTCTTCGTCTTCTAGGGGTCATGAAAGATCGAGAAAACGTAAAAGTAGAGAGTCGGCCGACGGTCTCGATTACAATACTTCCTTTGCTTACGCTCGGGAAGTAAAAACATGAATGGAATGCTAAATCACAAGTATAGTCTCATCCTATTTTGGACATTTTAGATAGGATTCATTTGGCAAAATTTTGGGCTGACTTCATCAATTTTTTGGAGGGGATAAGTAAATATATTTTGAATAAAAATTTATTATGCTTATCATATGTTTAAAACATCTGCAAGTTTTCAAAGCATTCGGTTTTGCAGATTCAAAATTAAATTGTAGGTGAAACGAAGTTCACCGGGTCAGCTAGTAATAAACATAAATAAAACAGTTAAGTTAAACACGTACTTCGTTGTTTGCCATTGATTATCTGCTTTAAATATACTTCATAGTGTCCGCATTTGTTCGGACGGTGCCCTCTTGGAATTTACACCCTCGAGGCGCAGGGATTGAGGGGGTGTTATTTATCCTTCTCGAGCCAGGGAAGTTCTGTCGAAATAACCTTCGACCAATTTTTTATTTGTTGAATTTCTGATTATTATAAGAAAGAACACAACGAAAACTCCCTAGGGAAATTATTTGAGTATTATATCTCTGTGCAGTAATACTTAATTTTTTCCGATTTTGCTATCCGAAAAAAACGTCTCCACTCTCCTAACCGAGGAAAATTTTTATTTTAATCTTACGTAAATAAGAGAAAATGTGAAATGCCAACTGCTATCGCTGATTAAATACACCAATACATCAAATGGGATTAAACTTGTTTTAGTTATTTTGCTTATCGCTGTAATTTTACACATGGCACTGCGAATTCAGCTTAGCTCCTTAGATCATATAATAAATAGATACCACCATGCCGTGTTCTTTCCCTAGGACAGCCTGTGACGACATCCTTTTGTCACACATCTCTCTCGTGCATGGAGGGATTAGAATGAAGCTATCCTTGCCTGATCACTATTTGAATTTTGCGCGCCTAAATTTTAGGAAGTATGTCTGAACTAACTTCGGAAGAAAGATGTTGACAGCTTGATTTTATAAATAATTCACAGTAGATAACGAAAGGAATAGTAAATTATTGGGCAGTAATTGTGATCCTTTATGACTACATCACTTAAAATAGGATCTTTGTTCTAAATTCTAAAATTGTTTTTTGTACAACAACTCGAAAGAGAGGTTAGAAGAAACATCTGTCAAAAGCGATTTGTTGCGCTGGTGCGGTACAAGGACGGAAGTGAAATAGACATATACAGATGAAATGCATATAACAAAGATGAAGATGTGGTGATCACACAAGGATAGCATTATACTACTCCCCTTGACGTAGAAAACGACAACAGATAGCTTCATGTCTAGTCACAGCTTTCAGTTTGAGTATTGGTATCTATTTATTATATGATCTAAGCTTAGCTCTCGGTTTTATTTGTTTAAATATTTTTTCTGTAATTTTGTGCAACATCGGGTCCAGCAACCAGCATTTCTCTTTGCTACGAAAGTTATGTTACCAATGGTATAATCACTCAATCACTCATTACGTAATGAATAAACAAACAAAATAGAAAGGTGGGTACCGAGTACACAACCGAGTACTACCGACTGGAACACATTCAGTTGGTTGTTTACCATTTACCTGCGTACGTTGCACGGTTGAGTAACGAGCATGTGAGACGCTGCATTAAAAGAAAACAATTCATACCTGCTCTAATTTCACGTGACAGAATGTGTTAGTTGAAAAGTTCTTTTTTTGTGTTTATTGCGACTTTAATGGAACAAATATGGATGAAGATTGGTTGCTCTACTCAGTAACATCCTTCACGTTTGCTGTAATTTTTTTCTTTTGTTACATTCGACATGTTTTCACATTTTTCGAAAGAAATAAAATACCAAGGCCAGTACATCCCACATTTCCATTCGGTAACGTTTACAATGTAATTCGTAAAAGAACGAGCATGTTTATGCAGTTGTGGGCTTTCTATAGTAGATTCAAACGGAAGAAATGCACATTCGGTGGATTTTACATTTTTTTAAAACCTGCAGTGCTAGTAGTGGATGTACAACTTATTGGAAGAATTTTCCGTGATAATGAAAATAGTTGTTTTAAAGATGTGTGCGGCGATGCACGCAGTGTTTATAATTTTAACAACTTTAACACTGAATTAAGTACAAGGTTATTAAATAAAATTTCAGACAGCATTGAACAAATTTGGTTAAGATTACTTCCAAATTTTTCCGATGAAGAAGAAGTCAATTTTAGTGATATAATTAAAAATAAGTTTACTATATTGGTATTAAAAGATTTTTTCAATGTAAAGTACGACTTTTATGATTTAGAAAGCAAAAACGCGTTTTCAATTTTTCAAAAACTCTTTACAATCAGCTACCCACATTTTGGTTCATTTCTTAAAACCGATGATATCGACACAAAAATGTCTACCTTGGATGCTAGAAAAGAAGAAATAAAAAATAAATACATCTGGCAAACGTTGGAGAAGGAAGGTTTTTCTGATGAAGAAATTAAACTTTGTATTTTTTGTCTGGTCAAAGCCCTGAGAAAAATTAATAACACGTTACTGTTTACGTTGTATGAATTGAGTATCGATGAAGAAGTACAAACAGATTTAAGAGCAGAAGTCGCCAGATTTAAAAAAAGTAATTCCACTGTTACCTACCAGGACCTGAGCGAACTGGAATATTTGGAAACAGTCGTCTGTGGTAAATATACATAATACTGCATTAATTCAAACCTTTTTATTTTTTTTTCCTTTTAGAAATTTTGAGGAAGTACCCCACAGAACCATTTGTGTACAAAATTTGTGAGAGAGATTATTCGAAAAATGATGTACAATTTCCAAAAAATATGCTAATTTTTGCATCTATATTTGGTATACATCATGATGATCGGGCTTATATTAATCCCGAACTGTTCGATCCTGACAGATTTTGTAAAGAAAATTTAAAATTTGTTGATTCAACAAAGTATTTACCTTTTGGATTCAAGGATGAAAATGACTTCGGTATGTACTTATTATGAATGCAGCAGTTAAAGTTGTTTTAACCAACTCTTATTATCTGTTATTATTATTTCTTTCGGTTTAGTTTAATTGTCACCGCAGTCGTAAATTATATTATATTGAAACGAACACATGTAAAGTTTTTGACAGTGTGAATGTCGCAGAAACATAGTAATTATGTGTATACATATACACGGTTAGTCATCAACCTCGATATCTCATTACTTATTAGAAAATACGACAAAAAGTCAAACACCAAAGTTGTACAGTTCTTTAAGGACTATACTTTAAAATCATTTGTAACTACGCAGAGTGTTCTCTCTCTTCCTAGGTTTTATAAATACAATTAATTTTTGAAATTTCGATACGACGTTGCCACGTTATTCCAATTTGCTTGCATTTTTTCGCAATACAGTGTTTATAAAAAAAATCAAAAATTTTATAATTTTCAATTATTGATATTTTAGTTTTTTCAAATAGAACGCTCTGTATTTTATTGCTGTACCTTACTCTATTTTTACTTCCCGAGAGTAAGAAATAGGTCCCCTGTTTCCGTCTGTCCGTCCATCCCTCTGTCTGTTCGTCTGTCCGTCTGTCTGTCTGTTCGTCTGTCCGTCTGTTCGTCTGTTCGTCTGTCCGTCTGTTCGTCTGTCCGTCTGTCTGTCCGTTTGTTCGTCTGTACGTCTGTCTTCCGTGCCGGATTTTTTCGCTAACCACACCTCAGATAATATTCCAAGGGACTAGGCCGATCAAATTTTGTATTTATATTAGGAATATCATGTAGATGGTAAAACGCAAATCAAAATTTTTTTAATCATCCCCACCAATAATGTAATGAGGTCGCTTCAAAATTGTACATAGTAAATGGGTTCTAAATTATATAAATCAACATAGTCCTACACATGTAGTTTATGACTCTGAATTAAGTTTCCCAAAACGTCCAGATTTTTTGGAAAAAAAAAATCAAAATTATGAAACAACATTTTGCAATTTAATTTTGAATCTGCAAAACCGAACCCTTTGAAATCTTGCAGATGGTTTACAGTTATGCTAAGTATGATAAATGTTTAATCAAAATATATTTACCTATCCTCTCCAAAAAATTGATGACGTCAGCTCATTTATTTTATTGATTTAATCAGGAACTACAAACCCGAATGCTTTGAAATCTTGGGTATGTTTTAAAGGTATCGTAAGCATGGTAAATTTTTAATCAAAATGCATTTGCTCATCCCCCCTAAAAAATTGATGACATCACCTCAAAATTTTCCTGAACAAATCCTATCTAAAATGTGTAAAATATGATCAGTCTATACTTGTAATTTATCATTGCATTCATATTTTTTAGATTTGCTTATACACGGTGACTGAAAAAAAAAGAAATCAGTCAATTTATTTTGTTCTTTTACTATCTTGCTATTATCCAGCTATACTTTTTTGGACAAAAAACCGAGTATGATTACTTCATTAATTGGTCCTCTCTTCTGTGCTGAAGAGACAAAATCAATCAAATGTTAGTTTCTTTTAATACCTATGCATACATTTAATGCCACCGTTACGTGTTTCAATGCTGGCGCTGATACCATATGGCGTGCTAATGGTCGAATTCTTTCGAAGCATGGACATAAACAAAACAGTTAAAGTGAAACAAGTACTAGGAATTAAGAATGCATTGTTTCTCACTAATTATTATCTGCTTTAAATATATTTCATATTGTCTGCATTTGTTTAAACCGTGCCCCCTTGGAATTTGTACCCCCGAGGCGCAGGGATTGCGGATGTGTTATTTACCCTTCCGTAGTGAGGGAAGTTCTCTCGAAATGACCTTCGATCAATTTTTGTTCTTCTTTCAACTTTAAATATAAAAATACTTACAGCACAGAGAGAGAACAAAATTAGAATAAGATACAGTAATGAAATCTAGGTGTTCTACTTGAAAAAAACTGAAATATCGATATCTGAAAATTGTAATAATTAAAAGAAAAAATTATAAACACCCTGTATATGAAAATTTTATTTCAATTATACCACAACAAAGCGCGTACCTTTATGTATTTTTCCACAAAATATTGGAACGCAGATGGTTACAATAACCCTATTTTGATTTTTTGTGAACGCTTCCATTGCTAAAAATTTCAGTGAAATTGGATTAACGTTGTAACGTCGCATCGGTGGTTCAAAAATGAAGTGTAGTTGTAAAGTCTAGGAAGAGGTCAGTCAAAATATGTGAAAACATATAGGATGTTTCATTATAAATAAAAAGATGTTTTGTGTTACGCCCTAAACTTAGAACATTCTGTATACTTAAAAAATAATATTAGAATATAGTCCTTTGAGTTTTTCTTCTATTTCTAAAAATTTAATGAGATATCGAACAACGCGCGTTTAGTGACTCATCCTGTATATTACCACATATGGACGTATATAAAAGACTATACGCATTTTGTTTTAGGTATACTTTATTTGAAGCTCATAGTGAAGGCAACCCTTGTAGAACTTCTATCAAGGTTCAAATTTTCTCTGTCAAAGAAATCGCCAAAAACAATACAGTTTAATGAAGCTAATTTTACGAATCTAGAACTGGCTGAAGACGTATGGCTAAATTTGTGTGTTTAGAGTATAATTTATTGTCTTTCTATAAAAAGAATAATATTCTGTCAAAAATATTGGATAGGTATGTATGTGTAGTGATTGATTACTATTAGATTACGTTTGTCATTTTAAATTCCTGTACGTGTCTAAGTAACTAAATCCAAGACTAAACAGTACATATTTTTCTGTATTCACATTGATAGAGCAATAAAGTTAAATGTGTGCCATGCAATAATTTATTATTTCATATTTTCAGGTTACCAGTGGTACGTTACAGTATCATCTTTTCATTATTATTTGATCGTTTTCATTCTTAAAAGAAATACCACGTACGAGTTTCTTGGCTCAGATTTAGTTTGTAATTAATTAATTAATTCTATTTTATGACAGAAAATATAATTTTGAGAATCGATCTTGTTTCGTAGCAGACTTGGAGATTAACTGTATTTCATTTTAGAAGTAAAATATTCAGAATAAAGAATCTCCAGAATTTATTGCGTTTCGCTTTTACAACAACAATGTTACAGATTTATAAATAGTATCAAACAGAATAAAGACACTAGAGATTCAGATTCTGCATTGTTTTTAGAAATAGCAATTTTGGAGGCTAATTGTGTTTTAATTTTAGAAATAGTACTGTGATAACCCAAACTTCCCGCCTTAAAATTGACCTTGAAACAGTTTGAAAGGCCCGCGAAAAATTTAAAAATTCAAAGTTTGGCCTTGGCTATGATCGTCTAACAAATAGGAACCTACGTTGTGTTTTTTTTTTTGTTTTTGAAAAATGGCGGGAAGACGTTCTTTCATACAAGTGCATACACTGTCGAGAGCGCAAGAAATAATAGACAAAAATTGTTTTGGAGGGGGGGAAACGGCACCACCCTCACAGGGGGAAAGACGCTGCGAAGAATTACCCCTCAGCGCAAAAACCCCCTTTGGTTTTATTCCCGGACGACATATTATTACATTTCAAACACCTTAAGATATGTGAAAGAAACACACTCGCGAATTGACTGAAAGAAAAACACTCGCGAATTGACTGAAAGAAAAGCACTCGCGAATTGACCGACATACACGTATGGAAAACGAACAAACGAAAATTCTATACATCTGTTTGGAATCAATGCAAATATTGGAATATCACAAGTTTAATAAAACAAAGCAAAAACTGAATCAAGTAACTGGATGCAAATACACAAGTTATTACAGGCGTGTGGCGGCCGATCTCCTTTCCCTTTTTTTTTTGTTACGGCAGTTAACAGGAGCACAAGAAAAGTACCCCTGGAGCGTTGTAGCATAAGCGGAGTCTGAGCTACCGGTCTGGAACTGTTCTCCCCCCGCGACGATGATTCTATCTATCGCAAAGCCTACCCCACACGCATATCCCATGACGAACTTTGCCCTGCGGAACTAGGCCATTACGGTCGTCCAACCCGCAAAGATCTCGACTATTGGGCCAAATCGAGAAATTCACAACGTCGGCGGCCGCCCCCTGAATCTATCCAAACCTGTGGACTTGTACAGGTGGCGCGATAAATCTCGCCAGCTCGACTAGGAACCAAACCTCGCTTCTGCCACGTTTTCTGTGTCATTTAACCTCAATTCCATTTTAAAACATTCAATCTCTTATAACTCTGATGTTAACAACAACTGAACAAGTGTTAAAGTTTCAAAGAGCAATAAACAACATTTAAATTCGCCATACAATCTTGTGAAATCTTAAACAACAAATAATTCTTATGTGGGATTAAAGTTGGACATCAAATAATTTATATGATAGAAAACATTCATCAACAAAGTATTTACAAAACAAAACTTAGCAAGGATTTATGAGACGAAAGATCTGGTGTGAAATAAACTTGTACAAATAGAAATGTTATGTGAGGTTAGAACTGTAGAACATGAAATTTACGTTCAATTAAATTTATACAACAAATAAAATTACTGAGGTTAAGATTGTGAGATTAAGAAATATAGTATGATGTGAAAAATTGCAGAGTTAACATAATTTACAGGAGATTAATATTTGCCACACTTTATCAACAGTTCAAACAAAGAGTTTACATTATGCCAAATTATATCATTAAGTGATTGGTTACTTCAGAAATAATTTACTTTGAGAGTTTAAAATACTACGAACTGGTTACCCCAACAAAACACATAAACAAACAAACACAAAAATATCCAATCATCGCTCCGAGGAAAAAGCGTCTCGGGGATATAAATTCCAAAATCGTTGCGAGGAAAAAGCGTCTCGGTGATGTAAATTTCAAAATCGTTGCGAGGAATTGCCTCGATCATTATGATAACGATGATAACCACCTAAGGGAAGGAATTATCATAACCCCCCCGCCAGTCCGCAGTATAATGAACTTGTTTAACTGCCGTAAATGAACTATTAGCAATATTGTGTGAAGAATTTAGAAGTGTTCTAATGTAACACTCACGTATATGCATCCAGAGACCTATTCGTAATTAAACATAAGGTGTTTTTCCTGACTAAGTGAATTTCATGAAATCTTCTAGCAAATGGTTAATTTAAATAATCCTGATTGTTAAATTGTGTTTGCTCTAGCTGAGTATTAAGAAAAAGTAGCTTGATTTGTGAATTTTCAAACAAAGAACAGATTCACAACACGTGTTCGCGTCCGACCGGAAGTCTGCAATTTTCGATTAAAAGGGCGCAAGAATTTACCGCGCGGGTTGGGGACAACTGTATCATTATGAAAAATACGTTTGATCGTCGTTAAACAAAGGCTTCCTCCCGTTTTATTAACTACCAAACCAACTAATTTAAACCTAGTTCTTACCACGTGGTCACACACACACAGCCACATTCGTAATGCCCTACCATGCCGTTTTTCTACCAACCCTCTAACTGAAATTACCCTAGCGCTACGTGCTGCCATCTAACCCAAAGATCATGCAAACTAACTCCTAAGCGCTACGTGCATTAGACCATCCATGCATATTTGGTTGCCTATGTTTAAGGAGTTCCTTTTCGTGATTGAACTTTTTTTTTTCTTTTTAAATTCAAATTATTCAAATGCGATTTCGCGCCGCTGTCAATTAATTTCAGCGCGAAAATTTTGATTTAAATTCGGTCACCACAGTACACAACAAATTAAAAATTTTCTTTCGTTTTTAGAAGTAGGCGTCTGAGGGGTAATTGTGTTTCGCTTTTAGAGTTACTAATCGCAGTTGTGTTTCGATTTTAAAAATAACATAATTCAAAATAAAAACGCTTGGAGATCGCTTGTGTTTCGTTTTTAGAAGTAGCAATCTCGAGATTTTAGAAATAGTACTCTGGCGGGCTAACTATGTTTTTATTTAAAAAATAGCATACAACAAAATAAAGAACCTCGAGATCCCAATTTTGTTTCGTTTTTAGAAGTAGAATTGGAGGGGTATTTTTGCTTCACTTTTAGAATTAGCAATATAGCAGAGTACAGAATAAAGACTTTCTGGAAATCGAGTGTGACGATTCATTTTTAGAAGTAGCAATCTCAGGGAGTAATTGTGTTTCGATTTTAAAAAAGCCTAATACAGAATAAACAATTTCTAGAGGTCGCTCGTGTTTGGTTTAGAAATAGCAATCTTGGCGGTTAATCAAGTATTCAAAATTTCCATAACATCTAGTTTCCTTTATTTTGTTTGTACAATAGCGATGCGTAAACCAAATAATAAACAACTGTAATCTGCAGCGGCTGTTATCCCCTACAACATCGAAAATGTAAAATTACAAAAATTGTCGACGCGTTTCGCTAACCACCTTGGCATCATCTAGAAAATGCTAACTAGTTAGTTATCTCTACATAATGGAAACGTGGTTGGCGAAACATGTCGACATCGTTTGTAAGTTCTTATTTTGTAATAAACGCTATTGTGTTATCGTCCAGGGGCGGTTGGTGCCGGGGGGCACAAGGGTACGTGCCCCCGTAAAATTACAACGTCTACAAACACACTGGACATAGTAAAATAGTAAGTTTCAATATTTAAAAAATTATACGGGAATTTGTGTCATAATTATCAAAACTATTTTTTTTATGTCGCTGCACTTGTATAAAATGTATCAAAACTTACATCCACTTACATCTAAAGATGTGTGTCTTGGATATATGCTATGTTTAAGATATGCTATTGCTGATAAAAACCCGGCACAGAGACCGAATCATGGCTGATTTAGATGTTTTGTTTACACCGTTGCCATGGAAACCACACGACGTAGCCGTCTGATATGCGCCTGATACAACGGGACTGGGGTCCCGTTCCGACCGTGCTCGGGAGGATTGAGTTACTATCGCGGTTTTTAATTTTCATGCTGCGCGAACACACATGATAAATTTTCTTGGATAATCTTCTCGGTAATACAGATATTCGGGAACAACTACACAGCGCCTATATTAATAATATTCGGGCAAGGGTCGACAAAAATCGCCATATATTGGCCGATTGATAATGTACATAAAATTTTGTGGAGTGTTTGAACTTGCTTTACGTGGACATGACGAAAGTAGGGAATCACAAAATCCAGGTATATTTCGAGGTCTGATTGATTTTACGACTGAATTGGACTCAGCTTTATCAAATCATTTGAAAGAAGCAACGATTTTTAAAGGAACGCCTAAAATTGTTCAAAATAAACTTTTAGATGCCATGAACGTAAAATTTTTACCGAAGGCAAAAAGGTATGTGGAGAAATCCTTTTTTACTTTTACTGAATGTATTTTTGTATTTATTTTCGTCACACAATTTCGTCTATTAATTGGTAATAACAACCTGTTTTACATCTTTCTCTATTTAACTCATCAATCAAATTGTGTCCCCCCATTTCAAAAGGTCACGAGCCGCCACTGTTATCATGGACTAAGAGATCCAAGAAGATTAACTGTAAAAATGTTTTATTGCAACATTCAGAATACAATCCACCTTCAAAAAAAAAGTGCAGATAAATTAACAAAAATAGTTAACCACAGTTAACTATTTTTGTTAATTTATAAATAGTTAAGCCGTAAGGTCATATTAGCTTTCCTGTTAACATCAAATATACTTACCTTAAAAAGTGAAGCTGTAGGTATATGGTGTGAAGGCAAAATGAATGGAAACATTAATAAAGAATATCAATCAACTAATGAAACAATTCTCAGAAAGGTAATTCGATTTAATTAACTTTGAAGGGTAACGTGACTCGGCGCCAAATATTTATATTGATTTTAAATCAATCTTGCTTGTTTTTCAAAAATAATTACGCTAAATAGCTACCATTTGCGCCTACGTTTTTGCGCCTGGAAAGTTATAATTATATAAATTGTTTAATAAAGTTCCGAAAATTAATAAACCTAATCACGACTTT